GAAGTAGGATATTTTCCATGATGATGTTTTTAACCAGGCTTTGACAACCATTTTAGCTATCCAAAGAAATTAATCTTTCCAAAAGACTTACATTTACATTGCTGGTACCACCAAAAGATTAAAACTAAAACCAAAACAGAATATTCTTCACAAAGTTGAGAATCTCCACTTGCACTGATCGAGAATTTGTCAACATTCATTAAGCAATGATGCCTGAAACATGAACTCATCTGACACAGGAGTCAGGATTTGCTGCTAATACACATTCAGGAAATATTTACAAATTTTCATATGAAATCAAAAAGTTCTCATTAGCTTCCACAATTTGGATCCCCTTTGGGCTATTAAATATTAGAAAACCTCTGCAAAATTATCAGCTTTCTATTTTATAAATATCTAGAGTCATGCTACCCAAGAGAAATATAATCCAAGTCACACATATATTTTAAAAATTCTAGTAACTATGTTAAAAAAGGTTAAAAGAAACAAGCAAAATTAATTTAAACATTTTTACTTGAACAAACGTAACTAAATTCTTATCAGTGCAGCATCTAATCAATATAAAATTACTGAGATATTTAAATAATTTATTTAAACTCAATATTTTTGGTAACTTCTTTAAAATTCTCTGTGCATTTTACAATTACAGCACATCTCAACTAGGACTAGCTGAATTCCAAACACTCCACAGCCACGTGTGGCTAGTGGCTCCCATATAGGATAGTGAACATCTAAAGTATCGAATGCAGTTAAGCAACGAACTGATAGGTAATTAAGAAGCAAGATGACAATCTCCTTGGATCCCTGATGACTTTTAGCCCATGGCCTATACCTCTGACTTTATTCCAGAAGAGAAACCATTGAAGTGGTAAATACTAGTGACTAGGGAGCTCTACTTTGATTTTAGAGATAAACAGACATTTTGAGACGACTAAATAGACTAGACAAATTACTCAAACTCTTAGAGACAGTTTCCTTGTCTGCAAAATAGAAATGATATATATCTCATTGTATTTTTGTTAATTAGGTGACCTAAGTAAAGCATTTTCATAGTGCCTGGTATACAGTGAATGAGCTACCATTTATTAATATTGCTAGTATTATTAATTTTACTGTTATCACTATTATTTTCCTCATTTGAGTGTCCCTTCTTTTTCTGGTTTCTTCTCAGAATTCTAGAGGGTTCTTGTCTCTAGCTCTCTATTCTCTACCTAGGTC